CTTCTTAATAATTAGTCGCCTAGCTTTCGTAAACCGCCATTGCTTGACAGATTATATATTGCAGTTTTAAATGTCTGAAATGTAGCTAAATGTGATATTAAGTGCCAGAGAAACTTCAACAGATGGTGTTTTAAACGACTGAGGGTATTTTGTATTAATTATCGAGGTTTTATCAAGTTGTTCTGCGATCGGGCCGGATTTTTTTCCTTTCGCCGGGATCGCAGGTTAATTAAGTTGTAATTACTGAGAGGCCAAGTCAGATTCAGCCTAGACTACGAGCAGTCTCTCTTTTTTCTGTAGTCCGTCGAACAAAACGCGGAACACGCAAATGGCCACGCGCGTGACCGGTAGCGCGAGTCGGGAGAGGCACGAAAAAAGAGAGACTACCCGCAAAGCAAGAGACAATGGTCTTTCACGGTCTAGTGATTTTTTGGCGTCAAAACTGAAGTTTTGACAGGCCAGGCCATAGTTACTAACTATGGCTTGAACAACAGAGGTTTTTCTACTTTTCTTTTTATCGCGCAGCTTATGCAGTGCATAGAGTTAGAGTCGATTCTAAGCTAATTGACTGAGCAAATCTTAATTTTGGCCGCTGGTCTCACATTTAGAGGCCATAAAGCTGGTCTATTTCTCTTATATTAATAATTAATTTCCTGTGCTTTATGTTTTGAATGAGATCCCCCGTGGCCTAGTTCTTGTTTGCAGGATGTTGAGTCTTCACGGGATACTGTTCTACATATCCTAATTGTAGCTTAAATAAAGCTAAGCCAACGCTGCAAGTCACTCAAGGTCATTCTTTGGGCGCCGATTTGTTTTTTTTTTGTTTTTTCTTTCATTCTTGAGAATCTTTGTTCTCTAGCGCGATGTCCTGTAGTGCATCCGTTGGTAATTACTATTGTTTTAGCTTTATAAAATAAACAGTCTAAGAGTCTTCCAGTCCATGCTACTTTCTGTTTTTTAAAAGTTCTAAAGTAAGACTACCGTCTTGGAACTAAAGCGTTCCTTGACAGTGAAGAGAGGCTTTTAGTATTTAAATTGCGCGATAACGTCACGTACCCGGAGAGATGAGACCTTCTTATGCTTCTCTTTGCTCCGTAGAAAATGTTTTTTTTTTTTTTTTTTCGGAAAACATGACAAACTTTCCTGCAGTGCTTCAGCCATCATCAACTTGTTAGTGGTTTCGATTATTGACAGTTTGTTGTCAACGCTTCACAAATCAGCCAATCGTATTTTGCGTTGTGAGGCCAACGCTTAATTCATTGGCTCTGGCTTAGCCTGTGCCAGGCTCTCAAGAAGTACAGTGGGAACGTATTAAAACGAGCAAAGCGAAAATAAGACGCGCACGACTTGGGAAAGGGGACGGTAGCGGCGGGAAAAATGGGAGAGAGAGCCTCCGCCGCCCTGTCTCTCCCCAGCCCTCGCGCGTTTTTCGCATTTTTTATTACTGAACGACTTTCCACCACCATCTCGGAGCCTGGAACAGGCTAGCTCTGGCTAAGCGGGTAGTCTCTCTTTTTTCTTCTCGGGCTGCCGCCCTCGTTTCGCGCGTCTCGCGGCTTGGCCGCTGCCGCGCGCGTGCATTGCTCTCAGGACTAAATCTGAAGAAAAAGAGAGACTGCTCGCAGTCTAGATTCAGCCTGGTTAAGCGGTTTTACATCTTTAATACCGGATTATTCCACTCTGACCCTGAAGCAAATGAGCGTAAGTGAAGAATTCAGTTAGCTACATAAGACTTATCACTAACCTTAATTTCTTTCTGTTTCCTTTATGAATGATTAATGTAATTTTAAAGCACAGAAAAAGAAAGCCGCCTCGTGAAATTTTTGGAGCAATACGGAGTGGAAGTTTATTAAAATTATAAACTTTTGAATAGTAACTGAATAGCTTCCGAACAGTTTCCGAATAGATTCTATATAATATCCTAACTTAAAAGTTCGGCAGAAACTATTCGGGAAACACGAGGTTATGCAAGAGAGAAAAGAGGGGTTTCATGAAAGTCGTGCCGGGGCGTATGATTGGCTATCACTTAAACCTCTTGGCCAATATGGGGGCTTAAATGTTACAACGTTGAAAACGATGTGTTTTGCGAGTCATTTTTGGCAAAAAATTGACTAAAAACTGGGGAGAATTGTTCTCAACAAATTTACTAGAAAGCACTCACTATTATGTCCATGTGATCAAAAATTCACTGTTTGAGTTCGAGCTAGGATATCTTTAAATAAACCTTAATATGCGGCTAGTTAATTTTGCGTTTAGCGAGATAGTCGAAAAACCGCAATATTTATCTGCCTCAAGGTTAACCTGAGATCAGACTCTATTTTCGTTTCGATCTCAGGTTACCTCAAGGTATCACACATTTACATC